CTGGGGTGAACCAATTGGATGAAAAGCTTCAGTGCTTCATGAAGCTTCATCTGCCCATCACTACACAGAAGGATGAGAGTGCGATAGTAAAGTGGAGACTGCTCCACGACAGACACAACTGCATCATACTCGGCAGCATGCTAACGCTAAGCTAGCCAAGAACCCAGAGTGACGTTAAAGCTGACCCCAGACCAGCACCTGAACAGGTAAGTAAGTAAGTCAGTAAAGTTTATTTATTAAGCGCTTTTCATAGACAGGTAGTCACAAAGCGCTGTACACAAAGATTAAAATAAACAGTACGATAAATTGCAAAATGCACAATATACACAATATAAGAGGTTAAATGTAAATTCAAAATGTAAAAAGCGTTGGTCAACCGAAGGCTTGTTTAAACAGTAAAGTTTTTAACTGCTTTTTAAAGGATTCCACAGAGTCAACCAAACGTAGTTGTAGAGGTAGACTGTTCCACAGCCTTGGTGCCACAGACTGAAAGGCTCCGCCCCCTTTCCTCTTCAGTCGTGTTCGGGGAGCAACCAACAAACTCTGTTTCTGAGCAGAGACAACGAGCAGCAGTGTATTTTGTGAGAAGCCTGGATAAATCATCTGGGGCCTGGCCATGTACTGCTCGGTACGTTAAAACAAACGTAACAAAGTGATGAGCAGTCAGGCTGCAGCTTTCTGCCTGCTCATGTTTCTACAGTAGAATCGTGTGTGCGGCTATGGCCTCTGGGTTTATTATCAGACAGCAGTGTGTTTCAGATCATTTCACAACATCATAAGAGTAAAACGAAAGTAACGTAACGAGTAACGTAACAAATGTCTTTCTCCTGGGTGTAATTAAGTAAGGTGCGTCTTTACTTTTAAGAAAAGTGTTCTATGTGCAATAATTACTTTTTGGAGTAATGATCACAACAAAGAGGGGAAACGCTTCCAGCACCCACAAACATTTGACCGTCCAGGATGTAAAGTCTTTGATGCCTCAGAGATGGTCTCAAAGCGGAGCCAATGAGAATCGATAAGTGATATCAATTATGGAATTTGGAATTTCTAAATTCTTTTCAATTTCCCTCCCAGTGTTGAACACAGCTGCAGATGTTAATGCTGCTGATTCCTGCTGGATTCTGTGCACGTTGCATCCAATGGCGTCTGTCTTCGTGGTCACATCACTTCCTTTATTGCTGACTCTGTTTCCTTTTCCTTTTATTTTTAGAGCACTTTCATAATCACTTTGCAAATGATGGGCTCCCCTCTGCCACCCACGGAGCCCTCGCCAGCTCTAAGGCTTGGATCATTCTGTGTCTGCAGCACGCTGCTCTATATGTTCTATCGGTCTGGCGTTGGCATGAGCTCACCACCCTGGAGGAGGTGATCAGTGACTGCTCTTAATCATGGACTCCCACCGCCTCCATTACACCCTGGACAAAAGAGCAGTTTCAGCAACAGGTTCCTTCAGCCTGGCTGTCTGACGTTGTTACAGGAGGTCGTTCCTTCTGCTGCTGTCAGACTCTTTCATTAATCCACTGGGGTCAGATCCACACATGTGGAACAAGATTAATCACACCTCAGTGCACCCTGTCACTTTGTACACCACAACATATATTGGCACTTATACTTGTTCTTTTGTATGTATATTTATAGCTATATCTCTATAAGTATATATCATATCTCTGTTTCTACTCCCATTTTATACAAGTGCTTGATGTTTGTTGTATATTTGCTGCTATGACAGCACTATACTTCTATCTTTGAACAGATACGTAAAAGAAAATGGAAACTGGAAAAACGTCATGACGCATGCTCAATCATCCAGGTAAGTAAATCTCCAAAAGTTGATTCTGTTCATCTGGGCGTAGCGTTTTGTGGGAAAAATGTTTTATCACTCATTCAGGTGACGTCTTCAGTCTCAGCTGACTGCAGGTTTCAATCTTATAAACAGTACATTTGCATAATGACTGAAACCAGCCCACTGAAGGAACAATGGGCTGGGAGGTCAGTTCCTTAATCTTAATTATGCAAATTCTCCATCAGTAATGGGGGACATCTAAAAGCTGATGTGTACCGTAAACCTGACACAGCGGCCAGGGAGGCAGAAGAACATCAAGAAGGCCCTGAGTAAATGTGGTTATCCCAGCTGGACTTTTGTCAAAGCTGGGAAGGCTCCTAAAGAAAGCTCCAGCAGATCCAGGAGAGAAGGACAACCGCTGCCCACCTGTAGTGATCCCGTACGTGTCAGGAGTATCGGAGCAGCTGAGACGCATTTTTTCTAAACACCAGGTCTCTGTGGCTTTTAAACCCCAAAACACGCTGCGCCAAAAACTGGTCCACCCCAAGGATCGGGTCCCCGACACAAACAGAGTAACATAGTGTACGCTGTTAAGTGCAGGAGGACTGGCAGGATTTATACATCGGGGAAACCAAACAACCTCTGGCTAAGAGGACGGCACAACACAGAAGAGCCACCTCGTCAGGACTCTGCAGCCTATTTACACCTACAGGCCAGTGGACACTGTTTCAATGATGAGGATGTAACATCCCGGACAGGGAGGAACGCTAGTTTGAGGGCGGAGTCAAGATGGTCATTTACATGAAAAGGGAAAGACCATCTCTGAATGGAGGAGGGGCCTAAGGGTACATCTGTCACCATCTTATATGCTGTGATTGCAGCCATTCAACTCTCTGTGAATGGGACTCATGGCTATTGATCAGTGGTTGTTGATCCATGGTCATGAGACTTTACATATTGATGATTATAAACTGACCTCCCAGCCCATTGTTCCTTCAGTGGGCTGGTTTCAGTCATTATGCAAATGTCCTGTTTATAAGATTGAAACCTGCAGTCAGCTGAGACTGAAGACGTCACCTGATGATGATGAAACATTTCTCCCACAAAACGCTACGTCCAGATGAACAGAATCAACTTTTTGGAGAAACTGGAAAAAGACACAAAACAGGATAATAAAGGATTTGTGTTTTTTCATTATTCACATGATTTCCTCCAGAAGTATGGATTCACTTTGTTTTAAAAACTCAGTGACAGCAGTCATGCACACAGCATATTTCTTTTACTATGTTTTACAACTTTTGCATCGATATGACACCGATCGTGAGTTTCAGAGTCCCCTTGTAACCATGGTTATTCTGTGATGGGTACATTAGAGAGGAGAGCATCTGTCCTGCAGCCTGATCAGCTAGATCATTTAATGTTTACGTCACAGGTCTGTTTTGTTCCTTATTGTCTGCTACAGTACGATCTCACCTGCTCCTTCCAACGCCTTCTTCGTTTCCTTTTTAGAAACTTCTTCATGGTTGAACTGTTTTGGCTAACTAATCAATACCACGTTAACTTTGGTCTCCTGGTTGGAAAACAAGCACATCATTTTAGAATGACTAAAGACAATACTCCAATAACTGACTGATTTTAATTGTAGGGATATCTCACTGGAACATGTGTGTATAGTTTGATAATAAATCGGTGCATTGATCATTTATTACTTTGACATCAATTCGTTGTTGGCCTTTTTTCACACTGGTGTGATGAAAAGTAGTTTGAATGTAAACACATGTTAAACATCTGGTTAAAAACACAAACCTACAACCTGCCCTGTGTGAAAACATTACCTGCGGTGTATCACATCTTTAGAAAGCCGAATAGCCACACCCAGGCGTGATTATTACCACACCTGTGCTCAATCAAAAAATCACTTACATAAGAGCTGCCTGACAAAGTGCAATAGACCAAAAGATCCTCTGAAGTCAGACTTCCTGCTGTGATCCAAGAAAATTCAGGAACAAATGAGAAACAAAGTACCTGAGCCCTCTCAGTCTAGGAAAGGTTATAAAGCCATTTCTAAAGCTGTGGGACTCCAGCAACCCACAGTGGGAGCCATTATCCAGAAAGGTGGATGAACCAGCAGTGAACTTTTCCAGGAGCTGCCGGCCGACCAAACTTAACCCAAGAGTGCATCCACGAGGTCACAAAAAACCCCAGGACAACATCCAAAGACCTGCAGGCCTCACTTGCTTCCCTTAAGGTCAGTTTTCATGACTCCACCATAAGACAAAAAGAGCCTGAGCAAAAATGGCCAGCATGGCAGAGGTCCAAGATGAACACCAGTGCTGAGGAAAGGAACATAAAGGCTTTCAGTTTTCCTAGAAAACATCTTGATGATCCCAAGGGCGTTTGGGAAAATACTCTGCGGACTGGTCAGACAAAAGGTGAACTTTTTGCAAGGTGTGTGTCCCGTTACATCTGGTTTTCAGGAAAGGAACATCATACCCGCAGGAGAATATGGTGTTGGTAGTGTGACGGTCTGGGGCTGTTCTGCTTTATGTCTGGGCATCTGTTCAAGACCTCACAGTGAAGCGCACTTCTGCAGCAGGACAATGATCCAAAACACACCAGTGAGTCCAACTGTGAGTGGATGAAGGTTTTGGAGTGCCTTAGTTACAGTCCTGACCTGAATCCAATTGAGATGCTGTGGCATGAAAAGACGGTTCTGCTCAAAAATCCTTCAATTCTGCAAAAATGAGACAAAGTTTATCATCAGCGCTGTCAAAGACTCATTGCCAGTTATCATAAATGCTTGATTGCTGTTGAGGGTGGCCCAACCAGTTATTATGTTTAGGGGGCATCACTTTTTCACAAAGGACCATGTAGGTTTGGATTATTTACCCCTCAAACAAAAACACCTTCATTTAGAAACAGCATTTTGTTTACTTGTGTTGTCTTTGTCTAGTATTTACATTTGTTTGATGATCTGAAACACTGAAGTGTGATAAACACACAAAGAATGAGGAAATCAGGAAGGAGGGGCACACTTTCACACCAATGAACTCACAATGTGTAAACAAATAAAGTTAACTTTATTTTAATAAATACTATTGTTCATATGTGAATATAAAATCTGTGACACTGTAACCAAAGCATTTTAACATGAACTTGGATTTATGAATGACAAACGGCTTTGATTTGTTGGTTGTTAATGTCTTTCTTCATCAAAGGTTCAATAAATACTTTATATTCTAACTTTCTTCATATAACTACAATCTTTTAACTTCAGCTTCCTTCCTTCTCTCACTCTTCTGTGTAGAGATCACAAGTTTAAGTATTCAGACATCACCAGCTTTTGCAGTGCGAGTGGAAATGGGAGAATCTGACACAGACGAGTTTTATTGGAAACAGCAGGCACAAACTGCTGCCGCACATCACAGCCCTCTGGACAGTCATTCAGCTCCACCGACACAAGTCTGCATCAAAAATGGTGATTGAACCATCATATGTTGTGTTCATCATATTGACGCAGACCGCGCGCACACTGATCACCGGTCGGCTTCATCACGTCCTCCTTGCAGCAGCTGATGGACCACGACAGCTTCAGCAGAGCCGCTGGTAGCTTGTTAGCACGATGAAGCATGACATGGACAGGACACTCGTTTGCGTAAACGCTGGCAGGAGAATATGAAGAACATGAACACTCACTGTGAATGACTGACTTTATTAAAGGACTGCAAACAAACGCGACACCGAGACGTTCAAACTGGATGTAAACAATGCTCCATTAGATCACCTGGATTAGGGCAGGCATCCCTCGAAGAAGAAACCGAGATGGTTTTCGCATAGATGGCGGTAATGCGCCCCGCCGCTTGTCGCTACCTACCACTAAAACCAAAGAAGAAGAGCTGTAGCGTTAGCTTCTCGGCTGTGGACGCAGTAATGCTTCCGAGTTGGTTTCAGTTGAGGAGCTACCATGGGCGCTCGGTGCGCAGCCTAACATGCTCATAACGCTGTGCTACGTCTACATGTGGGTGCGCTTTCACAGGTGCTACTCTGCGCTGATCCGGAGCGGTCTGTCCCGGCTGAACAGCAGCAGCTTCAGCTTCAGCCTGTGCTCGCGCCGCGCCGGGCGCGCGCGTTCAGGCTCGCTTCAGCTCGAGGACAACGTGTTTCTTCAGCGCGGAGATAAGGCCGTGTATGTTAGCGAGCCTCAGGTTGGTCACCGGACACACGCTTACGTCATACCGTGGAGAGCGAGTACTTCCTGAACGCTTTACAATCTTACTAATCAGTTTGACAGCTGTGTGTGTGCTCGTGTGCGGTGGGCTCACGCGCAGGTCCCCACGGAGCCTGAGCTGAACAGCACGCTGAGCACCTTTCTGAAGCTGTACCGCAGCTAAACGGATGGAAAGCTGCGAGTTAGGCTGGCGTTCACTCGGTGATACTGTGTGTGTGTGTGTGTGT